TTTTCCTCTGTGTTACATATTCTCAGTTATTCTGTAAAAGTTTCCGTGAATAAATCGTTGCACTTTGCAATATTCCAGCTGGTCGCAGCAGCGCATGCCGTGATTCCCCTCTCTACATGTTGTATGACGGCCGCCTGTAAATAACCGAGTCTGGACCAGATAAACCAGTGATTAATATCCTGAGCTGCGGTTCACCCCGTTGTGGCGTTCTCAAGACAAATTCTAAAATATTGTACGTACGCATCAGTGACTATTGACGTCTCAATAGAGAGATTAACCCACTCCACAGTTTGTTCACCGCTATCATATAACCTCATTTGTGTCTCCAACCTATTTGCACAACCGTTACACTCTAAGATTTACTAGATGGTGAAAAAGGGACAGGGTTCTTTCGTTTTGAAGACTGCAAATAAATGTTGTCCGGAGCAATGTTATCCGAAGTATTTTAAGAATCTATTCAAAATTAATAGTGAAAGTTTACATTAAAAAGCAGACAAGTGCTAAATTGCATGCTGTTCTTCATATTTTTAGAATATATTTTTTCAAAGCAGCAGTATATAAACTGACTGTGTTTAAATGCAAGTATAGGGTTTCATATGTTTAGTGTAACTGCAGAAGTAATGCCTTTTTTTTCATTTATGAATTTAAGATATTCCGTCTTTGTGCTTCCCAAGCTTATAAACCTATCTGTCAGTATTTCCCAAGCAAATGATATAGATCCATGGTATCTTGACGTCATCCTGGATAGCGATGACGTCATATCATTCCAGATTGACGTCATGTGTCTGTCTCACTGAAATAGGAGAATTCAGAAAATATACGACCAGTTCCACGGAGGCTATGACGACGTGGTCTGTGAAATGTCACGGGAACTTATGGGTCATTGAATGTGCATTTTGTGGGTTACTGAATTGAAAGTACATTTCTATTATTTAAACAATTGCTTATAACATGTCATGTTTGACCGAGTTCTTACGAATATGTTGCTTGTTGTGTGGATGTAGTTCACTAAACCCAATAATGCATGACATTTGTTATGAAGTTTTCCACGACAATGAGAGGAAGAGTATCTATGAGCCGGTTCATCACATACTGCGCTAATTTATAGTAGAAAAGCAATGTTTATCAGTATGTAAAGCAGTCAATCGCACAGCACTGTTACTGATATTGCTTTTAATGTGTTGCGCGCACGTGTCGATAAAAACAATGTGGAAAATTATTTGATTGTAAATATACTTTGTCGAACAAAAAGAGAATCTCACCCGAGTGTCTTTTGATATCAAATATGTCACCACGAGTTGATAAAGTAACAAATATCCGAGGCTTGCCGAGGATATTTTTACTTTTATCAACGAGTGTTGATATATTTGATATCAGAAGACACGAGGGTGAGATTCTATTTATCATCAAAAATCACTCTTCATTAGTTTTCAATGAAAAATGCATATCTCTGAACACAGTACTGCCATTAGATTTGCAGTGCAGCGATGTCATAACATTGTGACGTCAACAAGTTCATGACGTCATAGCATTGTCAGGGCATAGTACAAAATCTACTGTCAAAACGATATCTCCTAGGAGATATCGTCTGATCTCACACAAGCGATATCTACTGTGGAACACAGTTTTGGATGATAAAGAGTAATCTACACTCTCCTACCCAGAGTTCCATGCGGCAAGCCAGCATAGTACCTCTGCCACAGGCCAGAAAAATGTGACGATTTGTCACATCTTTCACCGTCCATTCAATATCATGTACATATTTCTTAACTCTTTTATTTTTGACGAGTCTGCACGTCTAATTAAACATCTTTGATAGAATGGTTTAGTTTCACTGAGAAAATATCCTAAAACATGCGATCCTTTGTTTACATCGAAGACGACGGAGAGCAAACGATGCAGCCAGTTTGATATCTAAATATGTACTGTCATAAATCTTATTGTCGCAGTTGTGGAAGAATATACATGTAACAATGTAAAACATTGTGAAGAGCGCGCCGAAAAGCTTGCGTAAGGCCGGTCTCTTTTTATTATGAATATGCGCGTTTGTTTACAAACAAGAGAAAAGTCCGGTCACGTGATATGCAAATTAGCCTGTAGCAGTGATGTTATGCTAAGTCATCACTGCGCCGGAGTGTGAGTAATCTAGTGACTTTTGTATTGTAAAATTTCGGTAAATATTAAGGGTTTTCTGATAACGTACACGTTTATAGTATTTATCTCTTGATGTGACATACTACTTCAGGTTATATGATTTCATGGCGTCACAAGTTGGGTATTTTACCTGCATTTACAATGAACGCCTTCGGGGCCTAGATTTTCGAAGCTCTTAGCGCTAAGATAGTCGTAAGTGCCATACATTGACATTAACTTGCGACTATCTTGGCGCTAAGAGATCTTCGAAAATCTAGGCCCTGGTTACCTTGTGATATGTTGAGACGAACCTAGCTTCTGTCAGCTGTACACCTTTCAATATTAGAGTTCCCCGCCGTGATATTTCTGGAATATTGCCAATTTGACACTCACTCATTCGTTCGATATTACCAGTGGGGTCCGTGTAAAATAATGTTGACATGCACCAGGGCATTTTAGTGATTCTCAACGCTGGTCATCTGAAGCCAATTAGGACATCAATACATTACAATACATTATATCATCTGAACTGTTAACTGCAAAGAGAGCGATATAAGTTTAGCTTCTACATATTTTGAGAGTAAAAAGTATCAGAAGATTTTATCCCACATGCGATATCCCCAATGGAAACTGATCATGACATAGCGAAATGTCAATGATGTTGTATTCTCATAACAAAGATACAACTCGTTATAGCCCAAGTCTGTCTCACAGTCCCTGAACTGTTATTCATTTTTTATAAATACCCATCAGCCCAGCACTTTCTGCTGACTTGGTTGACACATGTCTTCGTAACCGTAGATTGATGCTTGCGCTGATGATCACTGGATTGTCTGGTCCAGATTCGATTATATTTGGAATATTGCGAGAGAGAGTTTATTTTGCATAATGGCCTCATGTCCCAGAGTACAAAAAGTACATGCTGGTTTGTTTGTGCGCATACAATGCATATACATAAATATACTACATCAATATATAGCAGTCAGACAGGTAGGTTTCTCTTCAGATAGATCGCTAGGCTTTTAATAACATTCATATTGTTTGTGCATAACAACTGCTTAAACTTAAATACAGATGGATTTATATGATAATACCCGGGAATAAACTGCATCCTACTTGTATGGTATTAAGGACATACTAATAGAAAGTGGTATTCTTCTTCTACAATATAATTAAATGACACTTGATACGTATTGCTATAGTATTATGTACATTGTCTTTATTGAAACGCAACTGTTGGACACCCAATTTGTGCGATAAGCAACGAAATTTACATAAAATGCGCCTCAAGTCTCTAGTAGTGTACAACGCAGTTATATACTCTTGTTTCCAAAATTGTCTTGTACGATGAATAAACTTTCAGAAAGGAACTACTACCAATATCACTGCTCCAAGTTTGGAAACAGATATCCTTGCAGCGTTGCTTAAACGTTGCCATAAACACTTCTACGTCGCCAAAGAATCCAAATTTAAACAATAGTGAGTGAGTGAGTGAGTGAGTTTAGTTTTACGCCGCTTTTAGCAATATTCCAGCAATATCACGGCGGGGGACACCAGAAATGGGCTTAACACATTGTACCCATGTGGGGAATCGTAAACAATAGTGAACGAACATGAGAGACCCAGTTGACATTTCCATTTTCACCAAAGACTTTTAGCATTTCATAACTGCAAGCTCGAGGATATCTATGGCTACTCATTCTCACTAGTCTACACCAGTACCTGATACAACGACTAAAATAATAACCAGACATTTGATATCTGCACAACTCCCCTAAAACAGCTTTTGTAGACACAAATTTTCCTAAACCTAAATACTTCTTGAAGAACAGGCCCTGAAGCTTTTCAGTATCTGATCTATATGTATAGCAAAATAGGTGCTATTTTCGTGTCAAATATGTTCTTAGCCATTTCATGAGGAGCGACATACTTTATCAACATCTGTTTGTCAGGAAAGCTCGCATTCATTGCTGTTAACGACAGAGTTTCACAAGCTTTAGACCACACTAGCCTTGAGGAAAACATGAACACCTTTACTTAACAGTACATACAATAGCTTATCTCTATCTACTAAGTCGAAAGCCTTACGAAAATCAATAAATGAGGCATAAAACCTATGACCAGGAATATTGCGGGAACAGGTCAAAAGGGCCAAAGGACAAAAGGTCCAATACTGGAAAGTTAAAAGGTCCAAAGAAAAGTCCAAACGTCCATAGAAAAGTCAAAAGGTCCTAATTTTAGAAAAACAAATAAGATTAGAAGAAATTCATTACATGTTGTTGTAGTAGTTCTAATCCTAAACATCTCGAGTGTCTTAGTGGTGTTTATTTTGACTTTCTTTTGGCCCTTTCGACTTGTCTTTGGCCTTTTGGCCTTTTTCAATTTTGGCCCTTTTGTCCTTTTACACTTTGACTCAAATATTGCTGAGTGCGGCGTAAAACTAGACTCACTCACTCACTGTAATGCCAACTACCTAAATTAAGCGAGTCTAGATTTCATCCCTCCTCACTAGGGCTCCTTTTCAATTTAAAAGGACTAGTTTGTTTCTATGAAACTTATATGTATTTAGAGACTAAGGGTTAGTATATTATTGGGCGAGCGAACACTACTGTGTACCGTCCGAAAACTTCTGATGTCCGAAAACACACCCGAAATCATATTTATATAATCCGAAGATCGATAATACCCCAATTTGACCTAAGATAACATTTTTGGAAGGCTCTGAGAGTACAAAACAACAAGATTCAAACATTGTCATAAACAGCAGACAGACATTTAAACAGCAGACATCATGGCGATGTTTAGCCAACTTGAAACACAAACAATGTACAAAGATGCGAAACGTTGATTACATAGCTTTGCTTAGTTTCAAGATGGCGGCTCACAGAGCTAAAGACTGGAAAGGAAATATTTTGATTCAACTGCAAGGGCGAAATAAGAAACAAACCCATGCATATGTAGGCCTGATTCAAGCACGTAAGTAAAACATAGCTACAGCTAATTTTCAGGTTAATTACTTTCTCAGAAACAACGATATGGCCATTTTTGCCAATGCGGAAGACAGTTTTGACACCTCCCCTTGCAGACGATAAAATATTTGTTTTCATCACAGTCTGGTAAATGATTAGGCAGTCAGACTTATTGTCAGTCAGATTGAGCGCTCATTTAAGTGCGGATCCAGACGTTGAGCTTGTGTCGTAAATCAGACAAACTGGCTCGACTCATTTGAAAGAATCAAATATCTCACACTGTCGATTTTACGATAAATGATGCTAAGAGCCAAGATTGTCCCCGTAGACTCATTAGAATGTGGGAAAATATGAATATGTTATGACATGCCAGTCTGTGTCAGAAGTGGATTTGAGTCTGTTGATGTCGGGTTGTGACCTTATGTCATGTATGTGGAATTGGTGTGTTAGAAGTAGACAATAGATAAGTATAAGTATTTGAGTGGCACATTCATTAATTTGATGACACCCATGAAGAGGTTAGCATTCTTCATCATCAACCCATGGTTGCCATAAGAAGCGACTAACAGGATCAGGTGGTTACACCAGGGGTGGAAATAACTTTAAAATTGCTAGTGTACTCCGGTACAGTGGCACATGTAAATTCACTTGCCCTGATAATTTTTCCACTATACCGTCCGTTTTCTTGTTGATTTTAAAAAAAATAAGCAACATAATTAACATTAGAAAATCAACTGGACACCGGTACAGTGTGATATACAAATTTGCTTGCCCGATGGAAAAAAACACCGGACTCGGACGTCGGGCAATTGGTTATTTCCACCCCTGTTACACTCGCTGACTTGGTTGACACAAGTCACGATATCACAACTGCATAGATTGATGCTCATGATGTTGTTGTCTGGTCCTGACTTGACTAATTACAGACCAGTCAGCCAATCAGCATATTTATTATTAGAAGAGTAAACTACCAATAGTATGTCATGAAATAAAATATTTATCTGTATCTTTTTATCTTAACTTTCTCAGGTTTGGTGGAGATTGGTGGTTTGTTTGTTTATTGTTTGATGGTGCACTCAGCAATATTCCAGCTATATTGTGGCAGTCTGTAAGTAATCGAGTCTTGACAAGACAATCCAGTGATCAACAGCATGAGCATCTATCTACACAATTGGGATATAATGACATGTGTCAACCAAGTCAGTGAGCCTGACCACCTGATCCCATTAGTCGCCTCTTACGACAAGCATGGGTTGCTTAAGACCAATTCTAACCCGGATTCTTCATGGGTAGTTTGTTGGAGAAGTGTGAAAGACATGGTTTGAAAGGAAAATCTTTGTATATTTATTCAAAACTAAACCACAGAATCATTAGAGTGAGTGAGTGAGTGAGTGAGTTTAGTTTTATGCCGCACTCAGCAATATTCCAGCTGTATGGCATCGGTCTGTAAATAATCGAATTTGGACCAGACAATCCAGTGATCAACAGCATGAGCATCGATCTGAGCAGTTGGGTACCGATGACATCTGTCAACCAAGTCAGCGAGCCTGACCACCCGATCCCGTTAGTCGCCTCTTACGCTGAATCAATATAACAGCTGATATATAAATGTAATCTTTTTAGCAAAACAAGGTTAATGATCCTGCTAATAATGAGTGCTATTGTCAAATCAAGGTAATATTTTAATGAAATTGTTGCTGTTTTGATGCAGAGCCATTTTTGCCATTATGTATTCTTGCAATCCTGTCCTATTTACCATCTTTTGCATTGATATCACTCATGTAACACTAATCAACCTTCATTTGGCATACCATCCTTTGTACACTACATTACGATGGTGCTGCTGTATGTTGTTGATGACCTAAGATGGCGCTGCTGTATGTTGTTGCAGACATTACGATGGTGCTGCTGTTTGTTGTTGCGGACATTACGATGGTGCTGCTGTATGTTGTTACGGACATTACGATGGTGCTGCTGTATGTTGTTGCGGACATTATGATGGTGCTGCTGTATGTTGTTGCAGACATTACGATGGTGCTGCTCTATGTTGTTGATGACATTAGGATGGTGCTGCTGTATGTTGTTGCAGACATTACGATGGTGCTGCTGTATGTTGTTGCAGACATTACGATGGTGCTGCTCTATGTTGTTGATGACATTACGATGGTGCTGCTGTATGTTGTTGCAGACATTACGATGGTGCTGCTCTATGTTGTTGATGACATTACGATGGTGCTGCTGTATGTTGTTGATGACATTACGATGGTGCTGCTCTATGTTGTTGATGACATTACGATGGTGCTGCTGTATGTTGTTGATGACATTACGATGGTGCTGCTCTATGTTGTTGATGACATTATGATGGTGCTGCTGTATGTTGTTGCAGACATTACGATGGTGCTGCTCTATGTTGTTGATGACATTACGATGGTGCTGCTGTATGTTGTTGATGACATTAGGATGGTGCTGCTGTATGTTGTTGATGACATTACGATGGTGCTGCTGTATGTTGTTGCAGACATTACGATGGTGCTGCTGTTTGTTGTTGCTGACATTACGATGGTGCTGCTGTATGTTGTTGACGGACATTCACGATGGTGCTGCTGTATGTTGTTGCAGACATTACACGATGGTGCTGCTGTATGTTGTTGTTCGGACATTACGATGGTGCTGCTGCTGTATGTTGTTGCGGACATTATGATGGTGCTGCTGTATGTTGTTGCAGACATTACGATGGTGCTGCTGTATGTTGTTGATGACATTAGGATGGTGCTGCTGTATGTTGTTGCGGACATTACGGTGGTGCTGCTGTATGTTGTTGCAGACATTACGATGGTGCTGCTGTATGTTGTTGCGGACATTACGATGGTGCTGCTGTATGTTGTTGCGGACATTATGATGGTGCTGCTGTATGTTGTTACGGACATTACGATGGTGCTGCTGTATGTTGTTGCGGACATTATGATGGTGCTGCTGTATGTTGTTGCAGACATTACGATGGTGCTGCTCTATGTTGTTGATGACATTACGATGGTGCTGCTGTATGTTGTTGCAGACATTACGATGGTGCTGCTATATGTTGTTGATGACATTATGATGGTGCTGCTGTATGTTGTTGCAGACATTACGATGGTGCTGCTCTATGTTGTTGATGACATTACGATGGTGCTGCTGTATGTTGTTGATGACATTAGGATGGTGCTGCTGTATGTTGTTGATGACATTACGATGGTGCTGCTGTTTGTTGTTGCGGACATTACGATGGTGCTGCTGTATGTTGTTACGGACATTACGATGGTGCTGCTGTATGTTGTTGCAGACATTACGATGGTGCTGCTGTATGTTGTTACGGACATTACGATGGTGCTGCTGTATGTTGTTGCAGACATTACGATGGTGCTGCTCTATGTTGTTGATGACATTATGATGGTGCTGCTGTATGTTGTTGCAGACATTACGATGGTGCTGCTCTATGTTGTTGATGACATTACGATGGTGCTGCTGTATGTTGTTGCAGACATTACGATGGTGCTGCTGTATGTTGTTGCAGACATTACACGATGGTGCTGCTGTTTGTTGTTGCGGACATTACGATGGTGCTGCTGTATGTTGTTGCCGCATTCATGATGGTGCTGCTGTATTGTTGTTACGATGGTGCTGCTGTCACGGACATTCGATGATGCTGCTGTATGTTGTTGCAGACATTATGATGGTGCTGCTGTATGTTGTTGCAGACATTACGATGGTGCTGCTGTATGTTGTTGATGACATTAGGATGGTGCTGCTGTATGTTGTTGCGGACATTATGATGGTGCTGCTGTATGTTGTTGCAGACATTACGATGGTGCTGCTGTATGTTGTTGCAGACATTACGATGGTGCTGCTGTATGTTGTTGCGGACATTATGATGGTGCTGCTGTATGTTGTTACGGACATTCATGATGGTGCTGCTGTATGTTGTTGTGGACATTATGATGGTGCTGCTGTATGTTGTTACGGACATTACGATGGTGCTGCTGTATGTTGTTACGGACATTACGATGGTGCTGCTGTATGTTGTTGCGGACATTACGATGGTGCTGCTGTATGTTGTTACGGACATTACGATGGTGCTGCTGTATGTTGTTGCGGACATTACGATGGTGCTGCTCTATGTTGTTGCGGACATTATGATGGTGCTGCTGTATGTTGTTGCAGACATTACGATGGTGCTGCTCTATGTTGTTGATGACATTACGATGGTGCTGCTGTATGTTGTTGCAGACATTACGATGGTGCTGCTCTATGTTGTTGATGACATTATGATGGTGCTGCTGTATGTTGTTGCAGACATTACGATGGTGCTGCTCTATGTTGTTGATGACATTACGATGGTGCTGCTGTTTGTTGTTGCAGACATTACGATGGTGCTGCTGTATGTTGTTACGGGACATGACATTACGATGGTGCTGCTGTATGTTGTTGCAGACATTACGATGGTGCTGCTGTATGTTGTTGCAGACATTACGATGGTGCTGCTGTATGTTGTTGCAGACATTACGATGGTGCTGCTGTATGTTGTTGCAGACATTACGATGGTGGTGCTGCTGTATGTTGTTGCAGACATTCGATGATGGTGCTGCTGTATGTTGTTGCAGACATTACGATGGTGCTGCTGTATGTTGTTGCAGACATTACGATGGTGCTGCTGTATGTTGTTGCAGACATTACGATGGTGCTGCTGTATGTTGTTGCAGACATTACGGTGGTGCTGCTGTATGTTGTTGCAGACATTACGATGGTGCTGCTGTATGTTGTTGCAGACATTACGATGGTGCTGCTGTATGTTGTTGTTGCAGACATTACGATGGTGCTGCTGTATGTTGTTGCAGACATTACGATGGTGCTGCTGTATGTTGTTGCAGACATTACGATGGTGCTGCTGTATGTTGTTGATGACATTAGGATGGTGCTGCTGTATGTTGTTGCAGACATTACGATGGTGCTGCTGTATGTTGTTGCAGACATTACGGTGGTGCTGCTGTATGTTGTTGCAGACATTACGGTGGTGCTGCTGTATGTTGTTGCAGACATTATGATGGTGCTGCTCTATGTTGTTGATGACATTACGATGGTGCTGCTGTATGTTGTTGCAGACATTACGGTGGTGCTGCTGTATGTTGTTGCAGACATGACGGATGGTGCTGCTGTATGTTGTTGTTGCAGACATTCGGTGGTGCTGCTGTATGTTGTTGCAGACATTACGATGGTGCTGCTGTATGTTGTTGCAGACATTACGATGGTGCTGCTGTATGTTGTTGCAGACATTACGATGGTGCTGCTGTATGTTGTTGCAGACATTACGATGGTGCTGCTGTATGTTGTTGCAGACATTACAGTGGTGCTGCTGTATGTTGTTGCAGACATTACGATGGTGCTGCTGTATGTTGTTGCGGACATTACGATGGTGCTGCTGTATGTTGTTGCAGACATTACGATGGTGCTGCTGTATGTTGTTGCAGACATTACGATGGTGCTGCTGTATGTTGTTGCAGACATTACGGTGGTGCTGCTGTATGTTGTTGCAGACATTACGATGGTGCTGCTGTATGTTGTTGCAGACATTACGATGGTGCTGCTGTATGTTGTTGCAGACATTACGATGGTGCTGCTGTATGTTGTTGCAGACATTACGATGGTGCTGCTGTATGTTGTTACGGACATTACGATGGTGCTGCTGTATGTTGTTGCAGACATTACGATGGTGCTGCTGTATGTTGTTGCAGACATTACGGTGGTGCTGCTGTATGTTGTTGCAGACATTACGATGGTGCTGCTGTATGTTGTTGGGGGCAGTAGGGTTGTCTCGTGGCTAAACTTAATGTGCTTACTCGTCAAGGTCCGATGCCCCATATTGGTACAACATGTGAAAACCATTTCTGGTGTCTCCCACAAAGTTGCTGGAATATTGCTAAAAGCTAAACATGAAACCTTACTCAGTCACACATATTATGTTGCTGAGTGTAAAGATGTCAATTTTGGCTCAGATTTTCAGCTCATGACTTGTCTAATCCTTCAACCACACTTCATCTTGTAGTTGTAGGCCATTTATCATCCTCTTAAGATATGTGTTAAAATCAGGTACATGAGTCACATTTAGTAAAATGTCACTGTTGGTATCCACTGACCGTAAATCATTGTCTTGTTTGAAAAAAAACAAAACATTCCTCAAGGTTCTTCTAATAGTTCTTCTAAAGTGGAAAGGCAGTTCCTTTACTCATACCATGATAAAGAAAGAAACTATGTACTATACTGATTGCCTTGTTTTTTTAAACAAAGACATTTATGCCTTGAAATGTGAGTGTAGGAAAGTTTGTGTTGAATGTGGCTTGAAAATGAAATGGTCCCTGGGAAGTTATGCTGGTCATAAGGGCGACTTCATCGGGTGTTCAGTCTCAGGTGACCGGATGGCATCCGCATGGATCGTTGCTCACAGTCTTCATCACTGGATTGTTTGGTCACAACTTGATTATTTACAAGCTCCATCATTTAGCTGGATTGTATGATCCCCAAAAGAGTTGAGAATATAAAATTTAGTGCACACTGATCCATTTACTGATTTAGCATGTTGATTAGGCTAATGCAGTCCTTGGAGCACACATTATGTATGGAGTCAGAGCTCCAGATAAGATTTAGCTCATGTGGGTACTGTACCCACTGTATTTTTAGGGAGTGGGTATTATGAATGTTGAGTGGATATTTCATTTTCCCTTACCCACTGCTTTCAAATATGTGCGTATTTCATTTTACTCACCTAAGTATATATGTCATTGAGTAAGTTTACTAAGCAGGCATGTCCTGCCTTATGTCATACCTAATCAAAACCAACTTAAATATAATGGAAATGATTTCATTAAAAAAATCAGTCATCCTATGCTGACAGTACAACACTTGTCCTATACTAACAGTACAACTTGATAGCAATCGATGTCTTTTTCATTACGCAAGCGATTTTTATAAATATATTCCGTACGCATTTGTTTTAAACTTTTTGCATAGCTAACATTTTAAATGCGTATTGGTACGCAACAATTATTTTTCAATGCATAATTTGAAATTTTCTATGAGTATTTTACCCGGATACGCAGCTTATCTGGGCCTCTGTGGAGCTATGTGCAGTATAAGTGAACTGTTGTCCTTGCTGTTGGTGGTGTTTTGACAAAATATTGCATGCTTGTTTTCTCCCACAGATAACAAGCTGGTAGAGATCGCGTCTTCACTCAAGTCCCGCAATGTTCAGCTACAAGTTGAGGCAGAAAAATTAAAGGAAGAAAACCTTAATCTCCAGGTGAAGGTTGAAACTGGGTGAGTACCTCATGATATTTATGATGCCTAAAAATTGCTGCACTTCAGATTTCCTTGTCTGGATCATATCTACTGCCTACCAAAAGAATCTGGTGTATTAATTAGTACAAAACCTTCACCTTCCAGTGATTGTTCCATGACAGACAATGCAGTTGAAATTAAATTGAACAATGCATTATGCTATGAGAAATGACATGTTACTGTTTTGTTACCAATTAATAATTGAACAAGAATAAAGTCAGAATAATAATAACATATTTACAATTATTATCAAATGCAAGTTATTCAAAAAGTCATCCTGGAGCGAAATTTAAAAAAGTGATGTACCTGCAGGGTACAATGTAATTTTTGGGGGGAGGTGGGGTAGCCCAGTAGTTAAAGCGTTGGCTCGTCATGCCGAAGACCCGGGTTCGAATCCCCACATGGGTACAATTTGTGAAGCCCATTTCTGGTGTCCCCCGCCGTGATGTTGCTGGAATATTGCTAAAAGCGGCGTAAAACCAAATTCAGTCAGTCAGTACAATGTAATTTTTTAACAACCTGCACCAGGTACAACCTAGTGATTTAATCAGGTTGCTAGTGTTTCCCCCAGGATCCAAAAAGGGCAGGGCAATAGGAATTTCAAAAGGGGCATGCAATGTCAGATTTCCAAGTATACTGTCAAGTTATTCATATGATTCATAAAGGCTCAAAGAGTATAGTTACTTCACTGAACTTCAACATGAAATTGAAAATAAAAACAACCAAGTGTTAATATCAATTATTGTATCAAACGAAGGGCAGGATGCCAAATAAAAAGGACAGGGTGCTGCACCCTGCTAAACATGCATAGGGGAAACACTAATTGCACCATCAAAATATTGCCTGCACCCTGCTAACATGCACAGGGGAAACACTAGTTGCACCATCATAATATTGCCTGCACCCTGCTAACATGCACAGGGGAAACACTAATTGCACCATCAAAATATTGCCTGCACCCTGCTAACATGCACAGGGGAAACACTAATTGCACCATCAAAATATTGCCTGCACCATATTATAAACAATCCTATCGCTGTTGCTGACAACAGGCGATTCTTTGTCAGAGGGATATTTATAAACAACTTCCTTTACTCCAGATAAGCTCACATTACTCGATGTCTGAAAGGATGATTTGATAGATTGTTGCTTTTTAACTGACATTTTCATTCATAAATTTGATTTCTTTTCCGCTTGGCAAAATCACCTTGTAAACCATTAGGAGTGATGTATTATGCTGTGACATCTGGCATTCCATGAAATGTCACAAGATTGTATACAGTCTGTGGTTACATGTATGTAACTGATTAACGAGCATGGAACAGACTTCTTTACATTTTTTGTTTCTGGTAATTGATTCACCTGATACACGTGATAGGCACACAATAAGAGAAGATATATTTGATAAGGGATATTTATACCAATAAAACTACGGTGAAAAATGTTATCTGCAGTCAGTACTTGACAATAATGACAAAAGTAATAATTTCCCTGCACTGGTGCATCATGGATATTGCGAAATTGACTGTTGACCCGAACTCCCAGCTTTGTCACTTTGATGGCTAGTGCTGTGTAGGGCTGCAACGATTAGGTTCGATTCATCAAAAATCTAATCTGACACCTTAGTTTCGATTTTCGATAGCCATTTTCACTATTTCGATTACTGCAGGATTGCTTGCTAATCATACACTGCACATTAAACATGGTTATTACATATTATGTGGTCCAGTGTATTTGAATAAAAGTATACTGACACACATTAAAAATAAATATTTGATTATTTATAATATTACTTAAATAGTAGGCAAAAGGGCCCCCAAAATCAAGTATTGAACTGTATATTTAGGCAACAGATTATCATTAATCAAATGAGGTTGTTTGGTTTCAAATCTCGTTCAATATGTTTCCATGTTTACAAAGGCACATCTTGTTTGATGCTTGAAATCATGATGATTGTAGGTTTTTATTGTGTGACAGTATATATTCATCTATTGTTCCATATAATAGACATAATCACAAGGCAGTTTGAGAGAACAATACATGGTATGTAAGTGTTTCCTCCAGGAATTATCCCTGGATCCACAGATTTCTGTAGATTCATTTAGCTCAAGGTTTAGTTTGGTGATCCATGCCTTTACAAAAATCATTCAGTCCCCCAGGATCCCGGACTCACTTTCAGTCTCACTTCACACAGGACTCATCCCTGGAAAGATTGACATTTAGTCTCAGAAATAAAGTTATCTTATTCAAATATAAATGCAGTTATATTTGTAGGACTCGGATCCATGGCAGGCCTCAAATCTGTGGCAGATTTCCCAATCCATGGCAGATTTTCAAATCCATGGCTAGTTGCCGTACCTACCCTAATCTGTGGCGGATTTCCTACTCATCGTCATTAGAACATTTCAGCTCAGTAGAATAGGGGTTAATGGCATTTCATTTATGTGTTTCGAACTTACTGATACCCCTGGGCCTAGATTTTCGAAGCTCTGTTAGTGCTAAGATCGTCTTTTGATGTTGCTAATGTTTTTACAATTATCATAGAACAAAGAGAGCTTCAAAAAATTAGGCCATGTTAATTATCGAATACATTTGCTTTCCTTTTAATATTCTTTCCTTGGCTGCAAACGAGAGGATCTTGCAAATATTTACACTTCCCCATTTCGGATTCAGCGTTTTCAGTTTTGTAATCTCACGTAATTTTTCCATGTCGTTCCAAAATGTTTCTGCAGTGGGATCTTTTGATACAGGTTTCTTATTCTTTGTAGGTGGCTCCGCAATTACAAAACCACCATTTTCTATGGTTTCCATATTCTTAGCATTGAAAATGAAACTGAGATTACTATCGCCACGAACAGCTAGTGTCGAATAACGTTGGGAACGGTTAGCGATGATGTCGTCGCATAATGATGTCATTACGCCGATGACGTCCATGTAAACAATCGAGCAATCAAACCTGCCACGGATTAGGAAACCCTCTAGATTAGAGACCCACCACAGATCTGGAGTCCTACATATTTAAAATATATAAAATATATATTTATTTACCAAATAATCCAAATGGAGCCCAGAACAATCCTTAATTTCTGAAATTATTCTAGACTTGCCAAATCATTCTGGACTTGAGCAGGACAAATATTTTATTTTTCTCTAAAGTTTTAGAAACAGACTAATTCCTGGATCTTTAAGTCAGAAGCACTTTCAGAACAGCATTGCTATCATATTGTTGCCTAAGCATGTGTCATTGTATGACACCCTGATGTATCATAATAAAGTGTTGATGATAGGTGATGCTGCTGTAAATGTAAGTGACATGTAACATCCTAATCCAGAGGAGTGCCTCAGGCCTCATGTCATTGAGGGTCGAAGTAGGAACTAGCCTCCAGCCCCATGGCAATTCATTAAGAGGGTGCCAAGTTGACGCCGATTCAGATTGATGAGTCTGTTAGTCATGACAATTTGGAGATCTTATGTAGAGGGAGTTACGTGGAGCAGTGACCTAGACTTGACACATGGAGGAGTTCCATCTTGTCATGTTTCTAGTGGTCACAGCCATGTTGCAGCTTCGCAGGAGACTTAGATATCGGAAACTGTAAGTTCTGGGGGTTCAATTTCATATCTTGTTTTCAGTCTTTGTGATTGTGCAGGTTTAACATTGAGGGGAAAAGATTGATTGATGTGTTTTGTTTGAAGACAGGTCGCCAAGGTATAGTTATGAAATCTGAATATACTCCTCTTGTTGTACTGTCTGACATTGTGTTAATACTCTATACAGCTATGATTAAAGCCTTCATAACACTATACTGAGGTCTGATAACTATTTTAACAGTGTATCAGAGTGCATGGATTATACCCCTTTGTTCCCATTGGTGGACTTATATACAGTGTTCTGGAGGCCCGAATCTATACACAGCAGAGGTGTTCATGACTCCATTTCACAGCTATCCCAGAGACTGTATACCGATGTGGTCTGTATACCGATATTAACTTGAGCTTCACTGGGTGCTGATGTCCTAAAATGCAGTTTTGAAATTAAGCAGGATCCTGTCATACTTGAATTATGCTGCTGTAGTGTTTGAACTTAAATGTCATATTTACTGCTTTACTGCTTGCCTCTCATGCTTAATTTTGACAGCTAGCAATATATATCTCAATGTGGTGATACAATGATATACACCCATGATGTCACAGTCCTCCATCATTGAGGGAAATAACCACAAATATCAACTAACCCAAATTGGGATAACATGTTGTAATACTCTCCAAAATTCCATTAGCCCCTAGAATATCTATAACATTAGTAAAACTAGTCAGAGCTATCAGGCACCTGCTAATTTTTGTTCTTGTACAACTTGTACTAGTGTTAGTGCTAGCAGGTCGGGCTCAGGGCGGTGAAAATGGCTCGTTTTGAACGGCACTTCTTTCATATTACGCAATCTCACGCCCGCTTTACCCAATTTTAATATTGTTGATATATTTGATGGCTAGTGCTGTGTAGGGCTGCAACGATTAGGTTCGATTCATCAAAAAATCTAATCTGACACCTTAGTTTCGATTTTCGATAGCCATTTTCACTATTTCGATTACTGCAGGATTGCTTGCTAATCATACACTGCACATTAAACATGGTTATTACATATTATGTGGTCCAGTGTATTTGAATAAAAGTATACTGACACACATTAAAAATAAATATTTGATTATTTATAATATTACTTAAATAGTAGGCAAAAGGGCCCCCAAAATCAAGTATTGAACTGTATATTTAGGCAACAGATTATCATTAATCAAATGAGGTTGTTTGGTTTCAAATCTGCGTTCAATATGTTTCCATGTTTACAAAGGCACATCTTGTTTGATGCTTGAAATCATGATGATTGTAGGTTTTATTGTGTGACAGTATATATTCATCTATTGTTCCATATAATAGACATAATCACAAGGCAGTTTGAGAGAACAATACATGGTATGTAAGTGTT